AATAGGGCCTCGCTCCAGTCTTTCCCTCTGATGTTTGTGAATTTTGATGTATCTCAGTTCTTTGACTCAGAAGGAAGTGCTTCATTTATAGACAAACATCTGTGTATCCGAGAGGGTGGACATGAAATCAGTCACCACTGGCTTCCCATGTGCCAGCCTTCCTCTCCCGTGGTACTTGGTGGCCCTGTTCTTACCTACGTGCCTTGGCTCTGCTGCCCAACTTTGGGCTGGACTCCAGCTGCAGCAGCTCCTTGGGATATAATGCATCGTCTGAAACCCATCTCCCTCCCAAACTCCCCTCTACAGAGACAATTTCTAGGCATGCCAGCTTGGCTGTTGTGTTCAGGGCCCCTTTTGAGGGAAGGATTCCCTTCAGTAGAGGCTTGGGCCATGGCTCTCTACCCAAAATTACCCAGCTTTGCTTCCCTCCAGCACCCTTCTCACCCAGGTAAGCGGTTGTGGTCTCCCTGCCACCCCCTGTCCCCATCAGGAGACTTGGCATTGTCCTTCCACTGACTGAGCAACGTCAGGTGCTTAGAAAAGGGCACCCGAGCTGCATGGGGAGGGAGATGATCAAAGTGCTTTAGGTCATTCATGGTTCTTTTCTTCCCAGTAAGAGGTGGAGTGTGGGGAGTCCTTCCCACTCACTGTGGGCTGGTGGCACCAGCCCTGGCTGCTGTCCTGGCCCTGGGCAGATCCCTGGGCTTTGGGGAAAGGGGATGGGACAACTGCAGCTGTGCTTTGGGGTGCACCCACTGACGAGCCTGACCCCCCCTACCCACCCCATATTCCTCACTCCCAGACTGGGGGGAAGCCTCAGACTCCCCAAAAAACCGTAATGGGTGAGGAGTTGTGGGAAGAGACACGACTCCCCCCGTTACCCATCTGAGCTGCACGGTGAGGGACTGATGCTGCTTTGTGCTTCGACATCTTTATCCAAGACACTATCTGTATATAAAATATACATAATGTATATAAATTAGGATGTAAGTTTATGTAAATTGTCAATATTTTCTTGGCAAATAAAGCTTTTCCCTGATCTCAGTGTTCTGGGTGGGATTTCCTTCCCCAGCCCAATCAGGAATTGCTGTGGATGGTGGTTTGTCTGCACGACGGGACGCAGCTGAAAGGCAAAGGATCTTCATCCTGCGGGGAGGGTTTGAGACACAGCTGCTGTGGCCACCGCCGCTGAGGACAGAGGTGTCGGTCCCCTTGTTGGGCTCGGAGCTGCTCGTCTTGGTCCCCTCATTGGTCTCAGAGCTGCTCGTCTTGGTCCCCTCGTTG